AGCCACAAATCAGCAGCTGCCTCCACTTGTGGTTTCAACCATGTTGTAGCTCTAGGCATGGCCCGATCGGCAGTGTAATCCACAATGAAGGATGGCAGTGCTCTTGAAACAGAGACTTCGCATAGCAGGTAGACGCGAGTGTAGCCCTGGAAGTGGGGGAAATGGGGAGGTTAGATTGTCATGTCCAAAATGCAACAATTTCACAATTTTCACAATTTTCAACATGCCAGATCACTCCGCAAGCTTACCTCTCGTCCATCAGGATTCTCTTCCGTGTACCAAATACCCTTGGCTCCCTTGAGTACCATGTTGGTACATGACTTGTCCAATGTAAAGATCATGTAGTCTCCATCTGGATGTGGCGTGTAAGTATGTACGGCAGCAATATTCAATCGAAATTTACTGAGAACAAACTTGGCCCGAGTGACGCTGGGAGTTCCATAGTGTCTCGTTCCCCGACCGGTGCCAGGAAGCTTTGCCTTTTCATTGGCAGAGCCAGTATTGAGTTTTTCAGTCGTATAGAGTTGCATGTCCCTGACTGTGGGAATGGTTTGGGGGTACGACTCAAAATCGAGTAGACATTCCCAAACGACATAAGGAGGTGCCTTGACATCGAGAACCACATATCCCGATCCTTCTCGTCCCATGCGAGCTTGTTCTTGAACGCGTTCGCCCTTGGCTAGCAATGCCTTTTGTTCCGGTCTCAGAGTAGGTAGTTTAAAGGGTATGGGTTCATAGAATTCATTGGCAGTGGAAATGTCTCCACGAACCACATCAAATTCCTCTGGCTTTTGTTTTCGTTCCTCTTTCATCACTTCATCATCTGAAGGGATTGGGTTTGGTTGTACGGTTGTTGTCTCGTTCTCCTCAGCATTGCTTTTTCCATTCATCACTTGAGTAGATGAAGCCTTTCCGTTGGATTCTTCCGGTGTTTTCGAAGAGAGGTCGATCCGTAAGTCTTCTGTCCATCCACCAATGGAAGCAATTTCCGCAACAGTGCTGGCATCAGGAGGTACTGATTTGTTTTCTACTCCCGTCCTGGATCGTGCCTTTTGAAGTACTGCTTTCACTCGTTTTCGGACTTGCAAGGGACTCGATCGTCTGCCTGAGGCCGATTTGGACCACGAATCAACATTGTTGTTGTCCAGGTTATTCGAATATCGCTCTGAATCAGGAATCCGATTCGGTCGTAAGCGTTTCGTTATGCTTCGCAAGCCAAAGGCATCTGTTGACGGTATTGTTGTCACGAATGTCACGAACGTTAATGTGATGGCGTAAGCACACACACTGACAAGCATAGTATTCCTCCTCCGACGTCTGCCGTTGTTTATTCTCAATTCCTTTCGGTTGTTGTTGTCGTTGTCGTTGTCGTTGTTTGTGTGAGTCATGATGATATGAATAGCAGCTGTAATGTAAGAATCCCTATCTTTGTATCTCTATCATGTGTCGTTGTCTATCGATATGATAAGTAGTACCGTGTGAAGTGGAGTTGGAGTTGGAATTGGAATTGGTTGTGCTGGCAAAATACAGTAAGTTGGGAACGAAAGAATAGAAGACATCATCCTGCCTGCCTGGATGACGCAGAGTCAGATTCGCATCACAGTCAGATTTTCGTCGTACGTCAACGTGGAAATGAATCGAACGAACGAGTTTTGGTCAAACTAGTCTATTTTGTCTGGCCGTCCCCACAAAATGCCGTCCACCCATTGTTCCTTCTCCTTGCTTGCTTCTCACTTTCCGGCCTGAGCTTCTCGTTTCGGCCTGTCCTTTCTTCTTCTCAACAACCGTTGGCGCATTATTCGTTCAAAACAAGAGTTTCCAAAGATGACAAAAATGAAGGGATGCTTACGTCATACCTGAAAATTACCGTGGACACTCCGTAGAAGCCAGTACGGATCCTTGAATGACCCAAACCACGTACTTTGGAATGCTTTTGCAAATTCTCGTCCGGAAACTCTTGCGAACCACCCGCAGCCATCCTTACTTTTTTTGTAACAAGTCCAGGTAAGCGACTCTTATGATGCTAAGAGACTCTTGAGGATCCAGCGAGAGCTTGATGCAATGGCAAAGTGATGATGATGGCAATCATTTGTTGAGACAGCTTCAGTGATTGTGAATTTTGCTGTTCAACCTTCACATTCTGCTGTTCGACCGATTTTGTTTCTGCCGAGTTTGGAGAAATATCTGCCGACGAGCAACGATACTTTGAACTTCGGATTGTCCGTCCATCATCGATTGCCCGTCCAAACCATTTGGATTTGGCTCAGCGCTCTGAAGCTTGAGACACACTGTCACACCTTGCATTGCCCTGCATTGCATTGCCTTGCCTTGCATCATTCTTTTCGTTAGGATTTAGAATCTTTGCAAACAATTGAAAAATCACCTGTCGACCAGAATTTATTTTGGTATCTTGGATCTCTCTCACTCACAAATGTCATTTTTCCTCATCTTTTCACGCAGACTAAATCTTATTCTACAACAATGCCTTCCGACTTTGTGATCAACTTTTTGGCCGGTGGTGTCTCCGGAGCTGTCGCCAAGACCACCACCGCTCCCATTGAGCGTGTGAAGCTTTTGATCCAAACTCAAGATGCTAACCCCAAGATTATCAGCGGAGAAGTCGCACGTTACACTGGTATCGTTGACTGCTTCACCCGTGTCGCCAAGGAACAAGGAGTCAAGGCTTTCTGGCGTGGTAACTTTACCAACATTGTCCGTTACTTTCCCACCCAAGCATTCAACTTTGCTTTCAAGGATGGTATCAAGGCCATGTTCCCCAAGGCTGACAAGAACACTGAATTCCTCAAGTTCTTCATGATCAACGTCGCCTCTGGAGGTCTTGCCGGAGCTGGATCCCTCATGATCGTCTACCCCTTGGATTACGCCCGTACCCGTCTTGCCTCTGATGTCGGTGGCGGAAAGGCACAATTCGATGGTTTGTTTGACTGCATCAAGAAGACCGTCGCCTCCTCTGGTATCGCTGGTCTTTACAACGGTGTCGGAGTCTCTGTCTTTGGTATCATTCCTTACCGTGGAACCTACTTTGGACTCTTTGATACCCTTTCCGGATACAACCCTTACCAAAAGGACGAATCCAACGTCTTGCGTGCTTCTTCCAAGTTTGCCTGCGCCCAGAGTTCCGCAATCGCTGCCGGATACGTCTCCTACCCATTCGACACCATCCGTCGTCGTTTGCAGATGCAATCTGAGGTTCCAAAAGAAAAGTGGGTCTACAAGGGAACCGTCGACTGCTTCAAAAAGATTGTTGCCGATGAAGGAGCTGCTGCCCTTTTCAAGGGAGCCGGTGCCAACGCCCTTCGTACCGTCGGAGCCGCCCTTGTTCTTGTGCTCTACTCTGAAATCACTGCTGCCTTCAAGAACTAAGCAGACGACTCGAGAACAAAGACAAGCACTACTACTCAATCTGAATGCAGTTCTTGACAAGGTGCTTCATGGCTACGTCTCTCTCTCTCTCTCTCTCTCTGGTGTATAGAATAATGACATTATAGTTACAAATAAGGATCCCACCATCTCTCGATGCATTCTACACTTTTACTTGCAAAATGAATGTATTCTTATCGGTACTGCTTATTGCACCGTAGCAATTTTCAACACGTCATTCCTCTCGTCCGTCGTCGAAGAATGAAGTTTTTTGGTCGAAAAAATCATGTTTGGACCACCATTATTTTTTAAACATAGTAGCATTATTCAAAGCGAGAGAGGGGAAATCTACAAATATCTCGACGAGACCCAAGCCAATCAGTTGGTAGGCTCAAGCCATGTCCATTTTTTGTGGGTGTAGCCAAGATGTCATACACAGCACAGTCCTTACGGTCCAACTCATCCTTGAGTCCATAACAGGCAGCCTCGGCTTCCTCCTCACTAACAAAAGGACAATCCAAACGACGACGACGACGACAACGACAACGACGACGATCCCCACGTGGATATTCCGGATCAATGCATGTTTCGGGAAATTTGAGGTGAAGGCGCTTCACACGGAACAAATGCTTGCCCGATGGAATTCTAAGGACTTGCCATTCATGTCCAAGCTCGGTAAAGTCGTCGAGCACAGTAACGCCATCGCGAGCCAAAGTTTGGCCAGTATTGAAGTCACCCAACATAACAACACTCGTTTCCAAACGATTCTTCATTTGCATTCGCGAAAGAAACCTGGACAAACTCCTTATAGGTAGAAAAAACAATCTTTTGTCCGTCCTGGATAGATAGAACTCAAAGTCAATCTCGATTCGATTCTTGGTGATTGCCGTTCCTTGTTGAGAGAACATCTTCACTGGAAACCCAGCAAACTCGGTAAGTTCTCCTTGGTACTCGTAGTTGATCCAATAGTGAGTCACAGAATCAAACTCCAGAGCAGAGCCTTCAATCTCCAAAATAGCATTGCCAATGCGAATGAATGACGGCACTCTTGATGTAACTCCAGTGTCTGACGAGTTTGGTTCGAATGTGAACATCAATGCCAAGTCCATTGGCAAAGTCTGCATCTTTGGTCAAGACAAGGTCGCACTGACCGTGAGATGCAAAGTGTTCATTGTGCCAAGTCTTGAAGTGCGGGTCGCCATTGGAACCAGCCTCGGTTTCTAGGACATGGCAGAGACTTGCAAAGTTTAAAGTTGGTCCCATACTCTTCAACTTATCGGCGCTGAAGCAACATGGCTTGTGGTCAAGAGAGTTGACACTCTGATTTTCATTGATTCCACCCAGAAAGTCAACGTGAGGATGATGGCTGTTGTCAAAAATTGAACACCAATCTTTCCTGGTCCCCACTGCATATCACCGTAGCAGATGCAAATATTGTTTCCTTCTCCCATATCACCCCCAGTACCTTCAGAGATCACAATCTGAAAAGTATGGTGTGCATCGGCATTGGCAGACAGATTCAGAGCTCCAAGTAGGACTAGCAGCAAATTTTCCATGATTATTACTCTTGTACCAAGCCTCATGTTCATCATGTTGATAGGTAGTGCTGAAAGCATCAATAGACCACGCATTGTCATCTGAAACAATTTTCACAGTGGGTTCGACTCGCACAGCTTGGTTGTCATGGCGGCCATCGGAGCTGAAACGGAATCGAGATTCCGGAGATACCAAGAATGAATCATGGGTTTCAAAATCAGGGACTTGAGCCCTGCTTCCATCATCTTGCACATTAAGGCAGCCTTCTCCAAAGTCTGCAGTTGGAAGGTGGTTGGCATTGGCGCTGATGATGACCAATGTAGAAAACAAGATAGTCGAGACAAATCTCATTTTCGTGCGACAATAATAAGGTTATTCAGATTTTGAATTTATGTGCCCACGTATCGATTGGGAAAATGGAGCTGTGTACTTTTCGGCTTGACTTTGAAACGGAAAGTTTCTCCATGGTTAAGGTAGGAAATCAACCTACCGAGACCGTTTCAAAACCCCCATCAGAAACCGTGTTCGATTTCCCAGAGTGTGGTTTGCAACTCTTCGCCGTTGTTTTCGAAATCTAAATTCCATCCTTATTAGTCTGGCTCATAACGCCACATCTTCCTACTCAAATCGATCCATCATTTGAATCTACCGTACAGTAGAGACTTTCAACTTTCGGACATACGGTAGCGATAGTTACAGTATGGTAATGGCTTTCTGTATTTAAAAAAATTTAGTCAAATTATTCGAAACACAAATAGTACTGTAGTAGTTGTTTGTGCCACCCAAAGATATTTCAGTAGGCACAGACTGCAGTATCCGTACTGTTCGTTATAAATGTCCCACCAGTACTCTGGAACCAGCAGTCTTGATTGTGACGCACAATTGGAATACATTGTTAGCAATAATGCGCTAGACGTGTGAGATTCATGACCTTCTCCAACACTGGTAAAATTACATTTCAATTCTTGCTTCGAGCGCACACGTCGACCCTTCCTTGTTGGATCCAGGAGCACTCAAAAAGCAGTGCAAGTAGATCAAAGAGGAATGGATGTCTCTCGTGTTCGCGCTTCTAATAAACGCATCACACATCAACAATTCATCCTGGTGCTTATTGTTGCATACTGGTACGGTGACGATCAGTATGATCTTAGGGAACAGAGGAGACTTTTTCTCTTCATTGTTCTCTTTTTTTTGTCACCCAAGAAAACACAAACGGAAAGATGCCACGACGCCGAGAGAAAGAAGGCAGAGATGCGCCAAGCAAATAGCTCGGGAAGAGCGACGCAAACATAGCAGGGACACGTCATCTAGTAGATCTGACAACAAGGAGTCCAGCAGTGACAAAAGGGGAAAATGTCGATCTCGCAAAGGACGACTGACTTGACAGCAGTCATAACGCTGCACCAGGAGTAGTTGCTGCCACTGATTTGTCTCCAAGCAGATTGAAGAAATCCTCTAGTAAATCGAGATCCTCTGATGGGAAATCAAGCGATCGCAATTATCGCAGGGAAGGACGTTCCTTGGTTAGATGCAATGTTCCACAGCGCATTATCTTTCAACCAAGACCTATCACCATGGGACGTATCATCTGTCACTAACATGATAACAACTTTCCGTTCCGCAAAGGATGTTCTGGGGAGCAACATGTTTCAATCAAGACTTGTCATCATGGGACGTTTCTTCCTCTGTTATTAGCATGGTTGATATAATTGGCGAAGCACCCTCTTTCAATGGAGTTGTGCCTTCATGGATTTTATCTTCTGTCCGTGGCATGAATGACATGTTCCGAGGTGCAGGATGAAACATAGTTCAATCAAGACATATCACTAGGGGACGTTTCTTCTGTCACCAGTATGGCACGAACGTTCCACAGTGCAACGCCCTTCAATCAAGACTTGTCATCATGCGATGTTTATCTGTCAGAAATCTAAATGAAGTTTTCACGCGTGCATCATCCTTCAATAAGGATCTTTGTCCATGTTGCTCGCTCATTCCTGTAGTAGCATTTTTGCCAATACTGTATTGGTCTCATGTTTGATGGCGCCAATAGTTGCTTTATAACAAAGTCCAATCTGAAATCCAAACCTTGGTTCGAATCCGCCAGGTCCATTTTGTTACGATCGTTGATAAAATAAATAAAATGTCATGCATGAATACGAATCGATAATGTGAATATTATACATCGTACGGTGTATGAGTATCATCATCCTCTCACTTTTCTACATATTTTGAAGAAAGACAATTGAAGATGGTCGACGTTGAGATGGTACTACGTTAGGGCTTTACAGCGAAGCGACGAAGGTTCGGTCAATAGACTTCGTAATTAGAGAATTTTTTTTGCCAAGCCTCATCATTTATGCGTAAAGTATCAACGAAGGTGCGTTTGCAGGGACCTCTTTGGGCCTGAAAAGTGTCATATGGGATATATTACAATAATATACAGTGAGCTCATGACAACAGCACAACAAAACTGGGAAGAGAGAGAGACCGGATAAGGCAGCAACTGAGAGAATTCACGCGTTCATAGGTTGACACGTATTATACTGGTTCAGGTATTCAGACTGTGAATTCAGAAGTTGCGCCGCTGTGTTTCTATTTGATTCTGTTCAGAAGAATT